TGCATAATCGATGGGATGAGAAGGGAAGTGAAGAGAGTTCGGTGGTATCGTATCATAGGAGGCAGGCGCCCACATATATATTTATGGTTTAAAAGGCGATCGTCCACACACAAACACATGCATGTTAGAGGCATGCAGTTCATAGCTTCACCTCAGACTGAAACCTGCTTGACCCGTGTTCGGTTTTCTTTCTCCTTTACCATCTCGCGCGTTTTTTTTATCCTCCTTCTTTTCTTCTTCTTCGGCGAGAGGAACTTCCTAGTGTTGTACCTGGTGCGGCGTTGCTTCTTCTGCCACGCGCTGTCAGAGGTCAAATATTCAATTACTTTATGCACCGGCGATGAACGGGAGAGACGGACAAGGACGGAGAAAAGAATTTCTTCTCTTACATTTTTTCTTCTTCTTATTCTTGTTTCACTCATTCACTCATTTCTTGTTCTTTCACTCATCTCTCCAAAATGAAGAAATGAATTTATTGAGGCGCGATTAATAAAGTCAAAAATCAGACCATCCATCCCCCGCATTTATTCACCCTTCCCAACCGCACTCGCTTGGGGCGACAACCCTAAAAATTAAAAGCCTCAGATTTGCTCAGTATGCTGTTACAACGCGCACCGCAGCCCTTAGCCTAAATAAAGGATGATAGAATCGATACTCATTAACGTGACAATACTTTCTTCCCAATATCTACATTGGTATCATCACTTTAATATTTTTCTTAATTTTATTTACAAATTTCTCTTTCCCTGATTTTCTCAATTTCACCAACAGTTTCCTTTTTTTCTACACTTTAATGTTTAGAATAAATAAAGTTTCTTACTTAACTTTCTAATTAAAAAAAAATCATCATTTTCAATATTTACTACATATAATTTCAATTAAAACTAATAATTTCATTAAGAAATATTTTCTATTTAATTTTCTTAACAATATTTCGAATTATCAATAAATTGATTACTTAAATAAATAATTTGATATCATCCATTTACTTAGTTTAATTAATGAACTTTTCGTTTTTGTTATTTAACTTGACAATACGGTCGTTGCATTTTTTACGATTCACTATAAATCGAAAATTTATCGCTTTGTACAATTAGATATCATTCCGTTACATCTCTTTTTATAGCATTTTACGTGTCGTTTTATATTCTGTTTGTATTTTAACGACAACGAGTAATCACTTTCCTTCCAAATGTTACAATAATTCTTTGATTTTATCATTTCTATCGCAATCAACTAATTAATTATTCACTTTCTAAACGTTAATTAATTGATTTGAATTGATTGTATTTGTTATTATAATTTTATAAAATTAAAAGAGATAAGCTCAAATTAATAGTGGAGCAATGATAACTTGCCCGGAAGAGAGTAGAATTCTTAATAGCGTTGTCGTGCGTCGGGGCCCCACGTTGGGCGCCAATTTATAGCGGGACTGGATGTGATTTACGTGTGATTGAAAGTTGTTCGGGGACTGGTGTTTTCATAAATACTTTAAGTATTTTAACGAATTTTATCGCCCTTTGTCTGTGCTAATTGCTGCAAAGCAATTTGTTTTTTTTTTCTCTCTTGTATACACGCTTGACGAGAAGAACGAAAAGGATGAGGACGATTTTCATTTGAATATTGGCCTGAGTGGTATAACTCGTGTAGTTTACGAGTTCGCGTAAAGTTTTGGCGGGCAATGAAAATCCTTTCTATTATATCGAGCCAAGTTTTAATTAGTGGCATCGCAATTAAAAATTGATGAACACGGATTTGCATAACCGACCATGTTTTATTAATTGTATCTGAAAGTTTTAAGTCACTCGTAAAACGCGGCCGCGACACTCTGCGAATCATCAACCATCATCATCAACTCAACTTCATCATACCTAGACGATTTTCCTGAAAACGACCGATTGTGTAAGGCTGCGCTATTTTTAGTGCGGCGCTTACGTAATGCCGATTTTATTTATTATTTGTCACACAGCTGGTGTTTTTCGAACAATTAAAGTTTGCTGCATTAGCAATTACTGGAGCTGGAGTTCAGTAAGTAACACTTGTCTTTAATTGTTCCTTGTGCAGCGAGAGCTTGTATCAAGCCGGGATGAGTAAAAAGGATATGCTGTTGCTGCTGCTGCTTCATGTGCCTTAATTGACTAATTACGGCCTGGCTGGATTTGGCCGCAAACAAAACCGAGCTCCAATACTTAATTGGACCCCCTAAATATAGGTCGTACCAATTTACTAATCGTTTTCTATTTTTCCTCAGATCTATAACGTCATCGCGTCTTTATCTAAAAATTTATTTATTCTCATTTTATCCTTTTTTTTTTATCTTTCGTTTTCATCATAACTTATGTTGCGCTCCCCTCTCGATTATACAATATTCACCGCGGAAGAGACTCCTTTCCATTATCCTAATGTAGAATAATTGAACTTTCAAAGGGTTTTGTTTTTGGTAGACAATTTCCAAAGCAATCTCCGCGCCACTAACGCAATTCCTCTCATTTTTTTTGTCCCCTTTGCGAGGGTTCATCCCGCCATTAGACACGCTGCGTTTCCACAGCCGAACTCCAAAGGAAAAGTTGATCATTCGAATTACATCTTACCTCTTTTATTATTTATTTTTTTATTCATATTTACCGCAACACTCAACGTTTCGTTTAAAATTTACTTCTTTGTCTTCCTTATTATATTTTTTTTTAAATTCTAAATTCTGTTTTTTTTATAATTGAATCAAATAATATATTTTAGACAAAAAATATCTTCTAAAGCAGTGAGTTAGGGGTCGCAGAAAAAATGATGACAGTCGGGACAGTTTTTGTACACATGGATATTTTTTTCGGGGTGTCCTTTAAATTTTTTAAGTGTTTAAAGTTTGAGAAACACTGCTGTAGAAGACATTTTAGATTTATTGAAAGGTTTAACAATGATGTTTATGTCGATCTTTGCGTATAACGTTAACATGATGTCGGGTGCAGAAGTTAATATTTAAAGTGTGTAATTGCACGAAACGAACCGCAATGGAAACAACAAAAAGAATAAAGAAGTAAAAAAGGACGAGTGGATTTCTTCACCTCTTGGCCTTGCGATCGTCGTGACATCATAAACATTTGCATATGAGCGTTACATCGGCGGGGGCACCAAAAAGGAAGGCCTCATCGCGTATTTATAGCGGCCGTTGATGATGGCCAAGACTCGTCTTCTATTTTGGGTCTTCGATCCGATGTTACGGCTCTCCGTGGTATGGAGAGATGCTGAGGATGGTTGGCATGCTGGCTGGCATGGATGGCAGGGTAATAGCCTGGTGCGCAGATGGGTAAACAATAAGCCGTGCAGCGAGCCCTTGGTCACGTCTCTGCTCTCGTATTGCGGAAGAAAAGGCCCTCGACCTCTCTCACTCCTTTGTGGAGAGTGCCGTTGTTCGGTCGTTAATCGATTACACGGCTCGATATATACATACATATATATATATATTTATTATATAATATAGTAAAGTGTATATATAGAGATTTGCTAATCGAGTTATCATAACCTTAATCAAATCCGCCATGTATACGTAACAAGTTATCCGGCGACTGGACCGACAGCGAAAAGGCGTAGCGCCAAATCCTGGATGACTAGACTGCCATTGTACTCCGTAGCTATTAGCTACGATTTATTGCAATCGTAACATCCAGAATCTAACTTTCCCGTGTCTCCACCCCGAGCGGAAACCCGACAGGAAGGATGGAATCGTTCCGTTCGCAAAAAAAAAGCAGAAGAAAAAAAAATATAACGCACAGCCCAGCCAAAACTGGAGGACAGATCAGAGCAAAAAAAATGGCAATTTTAATTCGTTTATAATTATTCTTGCTGCTGAAAATTCGAAAATAATTGCGCCGACTTTTTGTCCTCCTACCTTCTTTAAGTTTTCATCCCCCTCCAACAAGGCGACAAATCTTTTCCGAAAAATCTGATCCGAAAGTAGCAGAAAAAGATCCCAACACCAGCAGCTACTTTGTTATGCACCCCCCGAACAAACCACCGCGCACTATTTCATTGTGATTTATCTGCACTCCGCTAAAAGAATCGAGCAAAAAAAAAGAACCGAACAGAGGATGAAGAAGAAGAACAAAAAAAAACACCCGACGCTGAATCAATCAGCCATTATTTGGGATGCGTTGGACCTGCAGAAGATATAATGCCCGGGGTTAAACTGTAGGTCAGTGTCACTTCAAGAAGCGCGCATTACTCTTAATCCCCGGAACGAAGCAGCAAAGGAACAAAAAAAATGCTGGACGTTTTTAAGATACGGAATATCCTAATGATATTTCGCGATGCTAATCCCAGTTTTGGTTCAATTTTACCAATAAAAAATATTTAATTTTTGTAATAATTAATTAAGATCTTTTTGTCGACTTCTGTTTGATTCTGCGGCATTTGTTGCTCCGTGTAATTAGATATTACGGCGCACCGCGTATGGCATTTCACGTATCGCTTTATTTTCAATTAGTGTTTTAACGACGCCTTATACCGTTCACGACTATAATTCTTTATTTATTTTTTTTATCCGCATCGCATAATTGCGAAATAAATTACGCCATGCTAAACTATCAACAATGTTCACTTAATGTTCATTTTCTTTATGTAACTCCGTCATAATTATAACATTAAATTCATACTTTTACTTTTGCCTAACCTTCCTCCTATTCCCATCACAATATTTTCAAGTAATAACAAAAGTTAAAGCACAATTTTAGTACGCTCATTTAAAATGCTTAATATTATACTTAAGATTTTATTATATTTAAGTATTTAAATAAAGATTTACTTTATGTCCCATAGATGGCGTGCTGGAAATGTTAACTTTTAGTGTTGTACCATGATGAATTTTCCAAAGAACAAATTCTAATGATCTCTTTTTTAAAAACGGGACGTCCCGAAACTGTGCTTGGGGACAACGGGACAAGCTACCTAAAAATGGGACGGTACCTTTAAACATGATTGTAATATGTTGTATTTTTTTATTGTTTCAGATGCTTGTGGGTTGAGTGACGTGGCACACATCGAGTCTATTCAGGAGAAGTCGCAGTGTGCTTTGGAGGAGTACTGCAGGTCGCAATACCCGAACCAGCCGACGAGGTTTGGAAAACTTCTGCTGAGGCTTCCGAGTCTGCGAACGGTGAGCTCGGCGGTAATCGAGCAGCTATTCTTCGTGAGGCTGGTGGGAAAGACTCCCATCGAGACCCTCATCAGAGACATGCTTTTGTCTGGAAGCTCTTTCTCCTGGCCGTACATGTGATACTTGAAACTGTACTAGGCAGCCTAGTCAAATCTCTCTATTTAATCTATTTAAGGGTAAAACACAAACAACGCGCCACCCCCGTAAACTTATAAGTAATATATATTTAAACAAATAAAAATATGTGTATATACATATGTAAAATAAAAGACACACACAGAAACACCGGTATCTGCGTTGCATCCGGAGGCATTGACAAACCAAAAAAAAATAATTAAATTAAATTAAAAGAAAATTACATAGAAATATGCAATGACGTTGGACATGGCCCGTAAATATTTTCAAAAAAAAAATATAAGAGATGAAGGAAAACATATCAGAAAGGGCCATTCGTTCACATAGCGTAATATCAAAAAATAAACAATATATATATTAATAATGAAGCAAACAATGATCGATGTAAATTTTAAATCACGTGTTCCTTTTCGTTATTTTCAGTACTGTTGTTTCTTGTATACAGACGCACTCTTTGTCGAGTTTTTTTGTTTTGTTTCGAAACAGGCTACGAACAAAGTTGTCTGCGGAGCAGATAAATTTACTATGAATAAGAGATGTATTAGAAATCCAGTAATATTATAAATATATAAATATGTAGACTGTAAATTTTGTAAATAAATTCAATGTATAGCAAGATCGTTTCCTTTGTTATATATACAAAAAATGAACAAAACATAACGTAATGAAACAACAAAAATATATATATATAAAATATTTGGCAATCAGCTGGAATAGTTGAAGTGAAACTTTGAAACAAAACAGCAAACCCACTATTTTGTTATTACTAATATTATTATTATTATTTGAATTATTATTATATTTACCCTTATTATTATTATTTTTATAATTATTATTTGATGCCAGTGTTCACTTTGTTTAGTAGTTATTGTTGTTGTTATATTGTTATACTTTTCCCCTAATTATATTTATACACACATATATTATCTATATGTAATATATACATATATAGACATATATTTAATTCTCAAATTTAGTCAAGAGCCAGAGCAAAATTAGTACTTAGAATTATTACTATTATTTCCACGCATATATATTTTCCCCCTTCTATTCGTTGCGAAAGGATCTCCTCATAATCCTTATTTATAAAAAAATAAAAATAATATCTAATAGAAGAACATAACAAAAAATAAAATAAATATACCTAAAATGTAATTTGTAAATGTGGATGTGTCGATTATATAAAACTGTACAAAAAAAAAACAAGAACCACCCCCCAAAGTTGTGTTTTTTTTCTTTTTTCCTCTTAGCGAAGACGACGAAATCAGCCATACGTATATATTTACACATTAATATTTTGTTTGTTTTCGTTTTTGTTTTCTTTCTTATAATTTTTTATTTTATTTTTTTTGTTTGTTTGTTCATTAATCGTAAGGCCAGTGCCAAATCAAAGCCAATTTTTCGCATTATAGTTTCGGGCAAATACAATATGTTTGAAATAAATTTGTACATAAATGATAGTAAATAAATTGACTGTATTTATAAATTTATATTGCTTTTTTTCTACGACACCCTCTATATCTTGACATGTGTCAGAATGACAAGCTCATTCGTACTTTGATCCCTTAGGAAAGCTAGTCATATAGTTTATTTTTCCACCCTCAACAGAGAAAAAAAATAGGTTTGTGCAAAATTTCTATATTTTGTTGTTGTTGATGATGTAACTGTAACTACTTAAGTCGGCAAACGATAAATTTTCTTTGGAAGAAAGTCATTCCGCATAATCACTTTTGCAGAGATTGCTTTCCAATGAAAACGAGAAAATCTTTGATGTTATTTTTTTATTGACATTTATTTCTTTACTGCTAAATTAATTATAAAATTGTATTTAAAAAATAAAATATAGTAAAGCAATTTTTTATTACCAATTTAAAATAATTTCTCAACTAGTCAACAAAATCACATTTTTTAAACACATAATAAAAATAAGTTTTAGTAAATTAAAATTATTTGTACAAAATTTTCATTCTTAATTTCTAGAATTATTTTTTTAAAAATTATTACCAATTAACAATTCTAAATTAATTCCAATTTTATTAAACATGACTTTTTTTATTTAAACATGATTTTTTAAACAATTTTTCTATTATAATTTTAATTTATTTGTACAAAATTTTCATTTTTAATTTAATGAAAAATAACTGTTAGATTTTTTTTAATTAGCAATTAAAGACATTTTTACCAAATTAATTCCAATGTAAAGTACATTTTTTAAACATGAAACATTTTTTCTAATACAGTTTAAGTATTGTTACAATAAAAAATATTAATTAAAAAAAATAATTCAACTTTCATAAATTGAAGTGAATCAATCAAAATCAACTCATGCTAATTTTGTATCCTCGGCTTGGGATTCAAGACTACATCGATCGAAGCTGGATATTAAATAAATGGTTATAAATGGTGGATAATAAATAAATGGTTACGTCATTATTTATATATGGTTCGAACCAATTTGTATTGGATTGATTGGATTTCTACTTGAAATATAAAAATTAATTTTATATTAATTACATTTTATAATTCTAATTACAAATTATTTTTGATCACATTTTTTAAAATTTACTTTTTTTTGATCTTAATAATTAATTACTAATATAAAATGGTATTGGTAATGAATTATTAAGATCACAAAAAAGTAATAACTACATATGATCCTCATGGTAATACATGTAACTATGTAACAACTTGGTATTTGGATAGTCTCAACTTGACAGTTTCGAGTAATGTATGGGTTCCTTTATACTCAATTAAAGCTTAGTTTAACCTCCAGTTAAACTAAACTTAATTGACATTTAAATAATTAATTAAAAATTTAAATGAAACAAAGTTCAAATTTTATATTTATTATAAAAATATTAATATAAAAAAATAAATGTAAAAATAAAAATCTTTTATAATAATATTAAAGCAAAAGATTTTAACATATTTATTTTGTGACTTAGGATCACACTCCATAAAGTGCATCCTAATCCCGGCTTAACAACAGACCCCCGTATCTACCTGTGTTGACGGATTAGTCGACAGTATTCCTTCTCGCACGAGGATCGATGCGAAATAGTTTTTTTTTGTCGACAAACACTTTTTAACATTGGAAGATTTAAGTGGGAACATTCGAATCGACACTTGCCGCAAATAAATCCTAATCCTAATCCCTGCTTTCTATAAATGCTCGCGACGTGACTGAAAGCGGCCCGTAAAACTTCACTGACACTAAATAATTTCAACCAATTCCCAAAAAAATCCAAATTCCACAACAACAAAAACCTCAAACAAATCGTATTCAATTAATAATAAAAAATCGTAAAGTTTTACATTTATCATTTCTTTGTATTTTTCTAATAACACAAGGATTCACACACGTTTATTATCCCAAAAAAAGCGAACTAAATTTGTATTATTTCCTTAGTTTTGTTTCCGTTCTTTAAGATTTGTCCCGGTGTCTCAATTAAGCGGAATCGAGTGTATTATAACTAAACTTATCTATAAAGTAAACATTAAAAGACAAACATTTTTTGTAATGTTTCCATAAACGATTTAGAACTAATCTGTGGACTTAATATAAAAGTGAAGTATGTAAAAGTACGACAGAAAAAAAAAAGATATCTTGGGGAAAAGCGTTTATTGACGGTGAAAATGTTATTCAAAGTGGGAATGAAGTATGCCACTTTATTTGTCAGCCGATGTGCATAAAGAATTTATATTCAGATTTTTTCCTCCCTCTCTCCCTTCTTTTTTCACCCTTATTATCGCGGATTTATTTCGCCGCGGCAGATCGAACGATTCCCCACGGTTCCACCAAATAATAATATTATCATCACCCGTTTCGGTTTTCCTTCCATATCAATTTCAATTTATTAACGCCCGCTCAGACGGATAAACAGTTTCGCGCTCACCGCTTATTTATTTATTGCATAATGCAATACCGATCGGATTATCCGTGCTTGCGCAGTGTAATCCAATGTTTTGCAATACATATAAACATGAATTACTACTACATAATTGATGTACTTATGTATATAATAGTTTCATCAAAATTTTTAAACATTTTAATTAATTTATCTTTTTCAAACATATAATTAACACTTTTATTTCCAATGGTAATTATTTGTATTAATAAAATTTATGACTTTTCATAATTATTTGTATTTAAAAAAAATATTTTGAAAATGACCTGAAAAGTGAGACATAAAAAATGCATAATTATTTGTAATAAGAAAAGACCTTTGTAAAATGTATATAAGAAAATCATGACATTAGAAGAATTGATTTTAATTGAATCATTTTAGTAAAATGTATGGGACAAAAAGTGTTGTGTTTGAATTGAATTAAATTTATTTCTATTAGGAATAAAAACCGTTGCTTATAGAAATAAAAGCTATTAGATGTGAATAGATGGAAAGTTGTTTTGAACTACTGATTCAAACAAGTTGTTGAAATTTATGATACTTCTATGCTACACCTTAGGTGTCTGGTAGTTCGTAAAGTTTGCTTCATATGTAGTATATAAATGTATATGTTTGTGGTTAATGAAAATGTAAAATTGATTCGAGTGGTCTTAAAGACATCTCGGGCAGTGCTGGATTCGAGACAAGGGGTGGTAGAGGGGTAGGGCTATTACGAAAACCGTCCCAGGTGTTAGTCGGTAATCCTAATGATTAGCACTTAGCAAGTCGAGCCATCTGCAACGAACTCACTTTTAAGTGCAAAGTTTGTAAATAATAAACACTTTGCCATTCGTAATTATCGTAAAATATTCTCTCTCCTCCATTCGCTAGTTTAATTAATCTCCCTCTCACCGCAAACCTCACCACCCCTCGTTCTGCATTTTAATAATCTAAATTTTTTCGTGATTAGGCGCCGCCACCCCTTACTAAGGGTGGTGGCTGTGGTGGTGGAGGAGGAGGAGGTAGAGAGGCGTCGGTCGGTATTGTCGGCTGATGATTCGCTTCTCCTTTTTCTCCCCTGTCCACAAGTTGCTCTGGTAATTAGCTATTTTTAATCAGCGCAAAAAACCGCGGCCCGGTATAAATTTCAATTGTAGACTGTATATATCAAGTGTAAGTGCTCCATCTGTCACACGCTCCTGACGGCTCCTTTTATTTGAGCCGTCGCAAATGCCAAAAGTACCATTCGAAATGTTCGCTTATATATTTAGCTAAGCGATTTAAAAGAAAGCCAAATTGCGAATTCGCATCCACTTAATTTAAAGTCATTAAATATAGGGTGTTCCACAATGAGCAGAATCTATTTGAAGTTTCCTTCGGGCCAATATATATATAAAAAAAACACAATGCAAAAAAAATTGCTAATTACACTTGCATCAACGGGAGCAGCAACTTCGCATCAAAAGTGTACGAGATTCATGAGCTCCGACACGAACAAAAGCTCATGTTCCATCCATGTGCTTTCGATAAATTACTTTGAGAACTTAACACCGGTGCTTTCAACGTTGCTTGAACATTCATTAAGATAAATATGAAAATATTCGACTTGTCACTATCATCTTAACTTTTCAGTTTCAACTATTTCTTAACCCATATATTCATTACACAATATTTGTCTACTACCTTAGTTTAACTACTTTGTACTTTTTACTCGGTTTCTTATAAAAGTTACTATCTTTTTATAATTTTAATATTTTAGCTCTTTTATTACTAATTCTTTATATGATACTTGTCCACATTTGCCAACATTTTTTTTGTTATAAAATATTTAAATCTTAAATTTTGTTGTTTTCATTACATAATATTTGATAATTGATGATAATTTTGGACACTTTTTATAAAATTCTTTAAGACCAATATAAGGCTTTTATAGATAATTTAATCTGATAATTTCTTTACTTGTCGCTAATAAAAAATATGATTTTTAGATATGTGAAATAATCTGAGTGAAGTTTATAAGTATTGGATGGAAACCTGCCAATATTTTTAATACAGTGAACGTCAATTATGTTTTAATTTGCATGTCGATCTTCATCCAGTGTTTTTCAGTAGACATTGTAGAAGGGAGATTCGTTGTAATACATTGTGTAAGGACGATATATGCATGGATTTATATATATATGTGTGTGTTTTTTTGTTGCTCGCTCGAAGGGTTCGAGGGTGTGGGGATCGATAGGAAATTTAAAAATTTCAG